GCTTAATATTGTATTCTTTGCAAGCAGCCACAACTTCAGTAATGTCACTCCAAAGCAGTAAAACATTACTATTTTTACACAGAACACACATGCAGAGGTGAACACAGAACACACATGCAGAGGTGAACACTGAACACACATGCAGAGGTGAACACAAGACAACATTAGCACGACCAGTAATCCTACAAGCTGTCATCACTACCCTCCTGACTGTTCTCCTCACTGTCTTCCTCTCTGTCAGACATGGTAGCTGATGATGTAGGCCTACTACTTCCTCTCTGGTTGAGTCTGTGATTAGCTGCTTGCATCCACAAGTCAACAGCTGGGTTTGGGTCGAAAGTCTCTGTTATCATCTTAGACAAGTGGATGTAATCAAATAAGTATGTGAACATAACCAATAACCTACCATAGCCAATAACAAATGAATGTAACTTATTTTATTTGTGTTGTTCATTCATATCTTATTTTACCTTAACATTTATTTATTTATGCATTTTTGTTTTTATCTCTCCAGTTTTAAAGGATATTTTTGGTTACTGTCCTATAGTATACATTGGAATGATTTCAAACCTGTTTATCCCAATGATTATAAAGGAGTGCCTTGGAAATATGTGTTTACATAAATTGTGTCCAAACCAATTGAACTTAGACTAAAGTGAACTATCTAAACACTCAGAGTCCTTTACCTCACTGAGCTGTAGTTATCTGCCTCTCAGTCTAACTGGAGAGGACTCTCCCTCCACATTATTGTAGAAACATCTTCTTCTTATATCCGTTAGAGCAGCTAGCACCAGATTATAATAACAACAGTGCCGGTACCGGGCGGTGCGCCCTTCTCTCTCTCCCTCACTCGCATTTTGGCTGTGAGCTGCGGGCGCCAGATAAGCCAACATCCCCCATTTTAGATGAGACACAACGGCTTTGCATTGATGAAACCAGGTAGGATGAACGCATAGTTCGCTGTCCATTCCTCTTTAAATGCCCTGTTTTCACCGTCAACTTTCCTCTTTAGAGCTTTGGAGAGTGACATTACTGCTTTGGAGTGACTGGGTGAAGCTCGTGTGTGTGTGTGTGTGTGTGTGTGTGTGTGTGTGTGTGTGTGTGTGTGTGTGTGTGTGTGTGTGTGTGTGTGTGTGTGTGTGTGTGTGTGTGTGTGTGTGTGTGTGTGTGTGTGTGTGTGTGTGTGTGTGTGTGTGTGTGTGTGTGTGTGTGTGTGTGTGTGTGTGTGTGTGTGTGTGTGTGTGTGTGTGTGTGTGTGTGTGTGTGTGTGTGTGTGTGTGTGTGTTTTTGTTTGTGTATTGTGTTTGTTGTGAAAACCCTCACGAGAAACACCGGCTGTTGTTCTGCCTGCTGTGACGTCAAGTTACTCCGTTCTCCGCTTGTAATTATGCCGAAGCTTCAAAGTTGTATTTATCTTCTGAATTTGCCGAAACAAGTTTAATATTCTGAAAGCCAAGACTTTGTTTAGTTAAAATCAAACAAAACAAAAGGAGGCGTGTGGCGCAGTGGATAGCCCCTTGGTGTTGGGATCAGGGGGTCACAGGTTCAAACCCCACTGCAGTCAGCATGTCGTTCTGTCCCTGAGACACTTCACCTCAAATTGCTCCTGTGGGGATTGTCCATAGTATTGAGTATGTAAGTCGCTTTGGATAAAAGCGTCTAACAAGTGACATGTCATGTAATGTAATAAAACACCCGAACCCCGAAAAACCAGTTTTTGACCGTTGGGGCTCATCCTAATTTTCGGCCTTGATGTAACAATATTCATAATTAAGTAAATGTAACACCTTTTCACCCCGGTTACACATTTCATTTGCCCTGTACGATGGGCGCTGTAAGTGATGAAAATGGGGGATGTTGGCTTATCTGGTGCCCGCAGCTCACAGTCAAAATGTGAGTGAGCGAGGGAGAGAGGGAAGGGCGCACCGCCCGGTACCGGCGCTGTTGTTATTAGAATCTGGTTCTAGCTGCTCTAACGGATGTAAGTAGAAGATGTTTCTACAATGATGTGGAGGGAGAGTCCTCTGATAACTACAGCTCAGTGAGGTAAAGGACTCTTGAGTGTTTAGATAGTTCACTTTAGTCTAAGTTCAAATGGTTTGGTCACAATTTATGTAAACACATATTTCCAAGGCACTCCTTTATAATTATTGGGATAAACAGGTTTGAAATCATTCCAATGTATACTATAGGACAGTAACCAAAAATATCCTTTAAAACTGGAGAGATAAAAAAAAAAATGCATAAATAAATGTTAAGGTAAAATAAGATATGAATGAACAACATAAATAAAATAAGTTACATTCATTTGTTATTGGCTATGGTAGGTTATTGGTTATGTTCACATACTTATTTGATTACATCCACTTGTCTAAGATGATAACAGAGACTTTCGACCCAAAACCAGCTGTTCACTTGTGGATGCAAGCAGCTAATCGCAGACTCAACCAGAGAGGAAGTAGTAGGCCTACATCATCAGCTACCATGTCTGACAGAGAGGAAGACAGTGAGGAGAACAGTCAGGAGGGTAGTGATGACAGCTTGTAGGATTACTGGTCGTGCTAATGTTGTCTTGTGTTCACCTCTGCATGTGTGTTCTGTGTTCACCTCTGCATGTGTGTTCAGTGTTCATCTCTGTGTGTTCAGTGCCGTGTGTCTGGCAAATAAAGACCCCCTCAAAAGTTACGGTTTATTTCATTTAAAGGATGGGCACCAAGCAACATCTCCAGGTGCTCCTTTGAGAACCAGGGCAAAAAAGTTATGTGCACCCCTGATAATAACTCTACTTTACTCAGTGGAGGCTCGTCCATTGAGGAAAGGGAGGACCATCCTCCCTAAAATTTCAGAGAAAAATAAACTTAGAAGAGAACAATAAATACACCTCAATTTAAAAGATAAGTCTGTTAAAATACAGATAATAGCCCTGGCTTTGGGACTGAAATGGGGCTAGAGAGGACGAGCCTCCCTTTGGGCGGGTCTAGCCAGAGGCTCTGGATTGGGCGCCTATATCATCAGTGAACCAATCAGCGGATCTGACTGCGCATCAGAGTGTTGATGGGGAGGCTTATCAGCGATATCAGAGTTTTTTTCTGAGCCGGGGAACAGGGGCGCTGCGCCCTCTTACCAAAATCAATTCCTTGAATTAGGCTTTGATTATGTTCTGGCCCGCCATCTTGTGGCTCAGCAAAAAATTGGCCCAAGGCCAAACTTATTTGCCTACCCCTACCCTACAGGCACTGTGCATTCCTCCATCACATGCACAGATGATTTCTAGAAGACTGGATCACACTTTTGAGCCCAAAGCACAAGACAGATGAAGCCACACATTTGAGCCCGTGGACTAGACGAAGTGAAGTAAGTTTTGATGATATTATGGGGTAATATATTTATTTAATTTTTAAATTGCAAATATCACATACAAATGTATTCATCTAGTACAGTGTTTTTCAAACTTCTTCATACCAAGGATCAATACAAAAAACACTCACGGACCACCTAACTCCTCAAATATCCAAAAACACATCGTTTTTCTAGAACAGATTACAAATCGCCTGAAAATGGTACAAACAAGTGGCAACATGTGTGACGAAGGTGTTGCGCTGGGCTATATCATGCAATCGAAAGTGAAAAACGTAAGCTCACTCGCGGAGATATGTGCGGAAAACTTAAATAAATAAATGTATTTCAAATATGGAATATTTCCAAATTTCCCCTTAACTTCCCATGGAAATTTACTGGAAACTTTCCGCCCCTTTGCAACCCTAATCCTGACCATGTGAACCTGTTTCATTTGGGGGTGGACCTCACATCCTGTAGGGGGGTCCGGGCATGCTCTCCGGGAATATTTTTAAATCTTTAAGTGAAATGCTTCAATCTGGTGAATTTGTGGGCAAAATGAAGAGATCTAATACCTCATGCGAGTCCTCTTACCTCAACATGAGCTTGTTGTAGAAACAGCTCCTTATATCCGTTAGCTCCGGAAGCTAGCCACCAAGATGCCTAACAACAACGATCCCCGTAACTGGTGCCTCTCTCTCTCTCTCTGTCTCTACCTCTCTAGACTCTAGCTTCTCTCGTCGATTAGCTCGTCTCTCTGCTCTCTCCTCTTCATCTCTCTTGTCTTCTCGTCTCTCAGTCTACTCTGTCTCTCTACATCTCTTCTCTCTCCTCTCGTCTCTCTCTTTGTCTCTCTCTCTCTCTCTTTATCATATCTCTCTCTCTCTCTCTCTCTCTCTCTCCTCTCTCTCTCTCTCTCTCTCTCTCTCTCTCTCTCTCAGGACACCAGAGGTGTGCTTCATTAATAAATAATAAGAACACATCTTGAAAGTGGGTTGGGGGGACACAAACAGGATTTGAAAAGTATACTGTACATCTACCTGAACGGGCTGTCAGAAAGAAAAAATATATATACTGTATATTTAGTTGAGTCGGCCTAAAAGGCACGTCGGCCCACCGGGAAAGTGCCCGGTATGCCAGATGGCCAGTCCAGCCCTGCACACTGCAGGTTCAGTCTGGTGATATGACCCACTGTCAGTTCATGAATAGAAGCTTGCTCTCAGAGGTCTGCTGCAGCTCTGGATCCACAGCATGGACCAGCTCCCTGTCCTCAGAAGGCAGCCACAGCACACACACACACACACACACACACACACACACACACACACACACACACACACACACACACACACACACACACACACACACACACACACACACACACACACACACACACACACACACACACACACACACACACACACACACACACACACACATGGTCAACAGTTCAACCACAGTGTTTATATCACTTGACATCAACTCATGTGTTCAAGTTTATATCTTTTTTTACTTTAATATTAATATTAACATGTTCTGTGTATTTTCAAAATAATCCAAATAAAAACAGCCCGATAAAGATGTATTCTCTTTTCTATTCATTCTCGGAATGACTAAGCATCTTTTCTTCAACATGACTCTGCTGCCCACCCACTCTCTGACAGAGGGACCCCTTTGGCACCGTGTTCTCTCTGTCTGAGCCGGACTGCTCGCGGGCCCAGAACCAGTCTGTGCCCACCCTGGCCCAGTTCCTGGAGGTAGCAGCCCGCAGCAGCAAACTGGTGCTATTTGACCTGCACAGGCCACCGTACGGACATCCCTACCATCAGTCCTACATCAACACCACTCTGCAGGTGGTGCAGGCCCACATCAACTCCTCACAGGTAGCTGTTAGAGGGATCAATGGGAAACATTTTCAATACACCTACAGAAAATATAAATATATACATATTAAAAACATATATATTTGTGTTGGTTTGTTTTGCACTTATATTCAGTGACTACCATTTCTCTACAGACATATGTCAACGTTTTGACCCCGATCCCAATGAGATGCATTAATATTAGGCATCTGCTGATACTTATGAAAACATTGCAGCAGAGTGTATAACGTTGAGTAAACATTAAACAGTAAACATGTACTGTATCTGTTGCTAAATTTGAAAACCAAATCTTTACAACATTTTTATTTATCAAATGTCTATATATACAAAAACCTATAGTTAAACATTTTAATCTATAAATATATGATGGAAATGAAGTGAAGTTTCTTTCTTCTGAAATTGAAGTGACACAATCTGCTAGCGAGTATGATATCTCACTCTGTTTTTGGAACCACACAAACACTCTGATCTTACTATATTACAGAGTGGTGTGGAGTGCAGCCCTAGCAGAAGTGGACAAATGCAGAACAGTACATATAAGGATCAGAATTTAAATTGTTTTATGTCGACATGATCCATTAAATCCGCCCGGATCCTCAGAATCAGCTCAGGACGTCTGTGATGTGACATCCTCAAGAGTATTCCCTCTTTCATTTACTGATTATTGTTAGTGATGACAAGCGCAGCATTTGTGTGTGTGTGTGTGTGTGTGTGTGTGTGTGTGTGTGTGTGTGTGTGTGTGTGTGTGTGTATAGGTGCTGTGGCTGCCTTCTGAGGACAGGGAGCTGGTCCATGCTGTGGATCCAGAGCTGCAGCAGACCTCTGGAGAGCAAGCTTCTATTCATGAACTGACAGTGGGTCATATCACCAGACTGAACCTGCATTACAGCACCATGTCCCAACAACAGTTCAGGTACACACACACACACACACACACACACACACACACACACACACACACACACACACTTCTGACTTGAATTGTATGAACTTATGAAAAGAAAAGTTAGTATGTTTCTTTTACTGCGCACCAACCCTTTAAGCCTGTCCCGAAATTGACACCAGATGGACACACGATAAAGGAAATGTTCAAATTTGGCTCTGATCGTAACAACATCGGGCCATTCGTGAGGGCAGCCTTTGTGCTCTGAAAAAACCTATTAATGTGTCATACCCACTTAACGGGAAGAAACTCAGCTATCAGACAATATTAACCATTTTTAGCAAAACGAAACATAAGGGTAATAACCATGGGCGGCGCCAGGATTTTTTTGCTGCAGTAGCTTTGCAGTTGCTATATAACAGCACGGCGTTGCCAGTTAATTTTCAAAATAAATAAACAAACAATACCAGTGGGCCAAGCACGAGCCTGTTCATATTGTAGCGTTCACCGCTATTCAAGATCATAGCATCACTCGAGCCTTCAATGTAGAAACCGTTCTCTTTATTTTCTGGTATTGACGGCCACAGCCACACCTTACAGAACCAATCAATAGTATAACACTCATGACTTTTCCCCACACTCGAACACAACTCCTACCGTCTCGTACTCTCTCCACACACACCGGAAAACGCACACACACACACCTGGAAGGGGCGCTCTCTCCCTAACTCCCACCAGCAACATTGCCTAAATAACTTTACAAATGTACTAAAACTGTGCACATCTGATAACTGAAATAACTACTTGGACACGCTACTATATGATCCTTAATATTTACATTAAAAACATTCCTTTGACACTTATAACATTACTTTGCAAGGTAAGCGCAACCAAAATAAGTTTGTAAAAGCAGAATTTGAACACTGTTTCTGTGCTCCTACAATATTTTTGTATAATACCATTACACCCTGAGCGTACAAGTACACAATAGCAATCGTTCACCGTTTCAACTGGCATGCTGTGGCATTTAACCTCATCATCTCACACACACTCACACACACAAGTGGATGTAATCAAATAAGTATGTAAACATAACCAATAACCTACCATAGCCAATAACAAATTAATGTAACTTATTTTATTTGTGTTGTTCATTCATATCTTATTTTACCTTAACATTTATTTATTTATGCATTTTTTTTTTATCTCTCAAGTTTTAAAGGATATTTTTAGTTTACTGTCCTATAGTATACATTGGAATGATTTCAAACCTGTTCATCCCAATGATTATAAAGGAGTGCCTTGGAAATATGTGTTTACATCAATTGTGACCAAACCGTTTGAACTTAGACTAAAGTGAACTATCTAAACACTCAAGAGTCCTTTACCTCACTGAGCTGTAGTATCAGCCTCTCAGTCCGACTGGAGAGGACTTTCCCTCCACATCATTGTAGAAATATCTTCTACTTACATCCGTTAGAGCAGCTAGCACCAGATTCTAATAACAACAGCACCGGTACCGGGCGGTGCGCCCTTCCCTCTCTCCCTCGCTCACTCACATTTTGACTGTGAGCTGCGGGCGCCAGATAAGCCAACATCCCCCATTTTCATCACTTACAGCGCCCATCGTACAGGGCAAATGAAACGTGTAACCGGGGTGAAAAGGGTGTTACATTTACTTAATTATGAATATTGTTACATCAAGGCCGAAAATTAGGATGAGCCCCAACGGTCAAAAACTAGTTTTTCGGGGTTCGGGTGTTTTTTACATTACATGACATGTCACTTGTTAGACGCTTTTATCCAAAGCGACTTACATACTCAATACTATGGACAATCCCCACAGGAGCAATTTGAGGTGAAGTGTCTCAGGGACAGAACGACATGCTGACTGCAGTGGGGTTTGAACCTATGACCCCCTGATCCCAACACCAAGGGGCTATCCACTGCGCCACACGCCTCCTTTTGTTTTGTTTGATTTTAACTAAACAAAGTCTTGGCTTTCAGAATATTAAACTTGTTTCGGCAAATTCAGAAGATAAATACAACTTTGAAGCTTCGGCATAATTACAAGCGGAGAACGGAGTAACTTGACGTCACAGCAGGCAGAACAACAGCCGGTGTTTCTCGTGAGGGTTTTCACAACAAACACAATACACAAACAAAAACACACACACACACACACACACACACACACACACACACACACACCACACACACACACACACACACACACACACACACACACAGCAGTGGTGAGGATCTCAGCCTGCCACTGACGTTCAACCAGAAAACATCAGCCGTTAGCTGTTAACAGTAAGCACACAGAGCTCACAGCTCCTCATATCTGTTCAGAAACTAGACGAAAGTTAAACAAGTACAAACCACAGACTGTCTGTGTCATGGAGAATACAGTCGCTGGTTTATTTATGTCTGTAGGCCGTTGTTGTGAGTGTAGACGGAGTAGGCCTATATACAACGTTAGCTTAGCCTGGTCGACCCAATCTTCATTCAAACGCACTGAGCACAGAAATCACATTAAAATACCCTTATTACTTATCGTATCTGTACAAACAAGATATCAATTAGCAAACTGAGATTGCACAGATTCGACAGGTATTAGTATCATTACTGACCGATCCGAACTCGCAACATGATAAGCTAACAAAGACATCACACCTCGTAGCATTAGGTAGCCAACACGGCAATATGTCTTACCTTTGTTGTTTTCTGATCAAAAGTTGTCTTCAATGGCATTAAAACGATAACAATGCTGCTGAAGGTTAATCCATAGGTTAATCCAATGTGTCTGTGTCACTTTGAAATTATTTCTGATGATCCATCAGCAATACACCTAGTTTTCAGATTTCAGAGCGTAAAATAGGTTTCGCTTTGGGCAAACTGCGTGCGCATAGCTCTCATTTCTCAATGGTAACGTGTGTGTACAGTATGTGGAAATTCCCCTTCGATTCTATTGGCTCTAACGGTTCAAAAGAGATGTCAGTCAATCATCAAAATCGACCAATGCTTATTATATGTTATAGTTTGAATTCCTAAAGCTTTTAGTCTCCGATCCCATCATTCAAGGGTGGTTTTCACTATAGGTAATGGTTCATTTTTGGACGGACACTATAATTTACATTTTTTTACTATGTTCAATCTGAATTTACTTTAAAATAAAACAATTCTATATTGATTGTCACTTTTCTACAATTCACAGGTTTATCATTGCTTTAAGAAAAAAGATTATTAATTTACCCCTTTTAGAAGGGAAGTTATTGTAATTTGTAATAGCTTGCACATCTTCCGGCGCAGACTGAAAACTCATCTCTTTCGACTCCACTTCGAGCGATAGAATTACTAACAAATAATTGCTACTGTAACAAAGCACTTATATACTAATAAAGGACTGGCTTATCTAAAGCTAGTTGAATAGCACTTGAAATGTTTTAGCTCTATGAAACCTGATGTACTTATATGATTCTGTTTTCTTCTAGTTTGTGTCTTCCTGGTCGAATGTACTTATTGTAAGTCGCTTTGGATAAAAGCGTCAGCTAAATACAATGTAATGTAATGTAATTTGTTTTGGGAATGTCATTTTCGAGCCTGAGACCTGAAAAACAGGCTTGGGGCTTAACAGGTTAAGCCATCGTATGACCGCCGGTGGAGTTTCTCAGGCTCCGGCAGCAACTTCGTGAGCGGTGGAAAAATCTTTGATATGCCAAAAAATTGCCGAAAGACCTTGCGAAGGTTGATCATCGGTGTCATCGGGCATTTTTCGCCTCACTAAGACAATACGAAGGAAACAAGAAGCTGCCCGATTGTCTTAGAAAGGCAAGACGACTACGTGAAGCCCTCGCAATGCCATCGTGTAGCCATCGTATTATAGTACGATGACATCGAGATGGGACCACGGTGTCGGCGAAGACAGCCGAATTTGAGTAGCCCAAGCGTTTCCCATGTGTCATGGTAACGTGGACATATACAATGCCAACCTCAGAGCATCTTCCTCAGTCAGTCCTGAACAACTCTACAGAGCAGAGGCGTGTGTAACTCCCAAAGCTTCAATCACAATTAATCACAATTCAGAATGGCATACTTTGATGATGAGACAACCAGGAAAAAGAAGGCAGCAGCATTGCTTCTTTTGATGCACCTCAGAGAATATGATGAGCAACTCTTACAGGCCCAGCACCTCCTCTTACAGGGAAATATTTTCTTATTTCACTTTGTCATTTCTTGCTATTTGTGACCTGCTTTATCGAAATCAGTAGCAGTGATGATACCTGTATTAAGCAGGTGAAACAGGAGCATGAGGACACGGTGTGCTATGTTTCCTTGCAGATCACTTCTCTGGTTGTTTTATTGCACAACAAAATCATGTAAATAACCCAATTTGTGTTCTGTGAAACTTTCGTTGCAGTTGTATGTCTTAAATGTAATTTAGGTTAACTTCCTGTTTTATTTAGATGCTTTTATTTTGAAGGCGAGTTTACGCTGTTGACAGGAATGGTTGTTGCTATGGAAACAACATGCCTTTGTGTGTGGTTCGGGTGCCATCGTCTGCCCTTCTGTAGGCACCTTACTTGCTTCGGCTGTTGCTTGGCTGTTGACCTATGGCGTTATATTTGTGCCTCTATCCTGAGCACGCAATGAAACATGTTGAGCATAGAAAATGCTATTGAGCGCGCACTTGAATATTTTTGAGCACAGAGAAATATATTTTCTCTCATAAAACTCCTGCTCCGTGCGCAAGCAGACCGCTGCACGCTGTAACCCCCTTTTTATAGCAAATTTGGACGTTGAAATCCTGTAGCAACAGGGACCAGCGCATAAGGCGGTGGTTGCTGTTTTGCATCCGAGACAGAAACACGAGGGGATTGTGATCAGAGAATATTACAGTTGGCACAGAACTCGACCCTATGTACACCTCGAAGTGCTGTAACGCCAAAAGTAAGGCTAGTGCTTATTTTTCGATGGTGCTGTAATGAAGCTGGTGTTTCTTGAATTTCTTCGAAAAGTAACAGACC